ACAGACAGACAGACAGACAGACAGACAGACAGACAAACAGACAGACAGACAGACAGACAGACAGACAGACAGACAGAGAACAAAGTTAAAGCTGTGCTTTCCTGCACTTCATACAAAGACTTCAATACCTCTCTATTTCAGAGTAAAGTTGCACTAGCTGACCTCCACAAACTTGATCTGTCCTTCTCCTTTGAATGTGAAAACTCCGGCATCCTGTAAAAAAAATATTCCGGAAAAGGCAACACAAAAAACTCGCTTATGTGACCTTATGCAGTTGCGAGCGCCGTAAACTCTCACTAAACAACACAATCAAGTCAAACTTTTTTCTTACTTTTATTGAACCGCAGCTTACTACATTTTAATTTGTAGTATGTGTCAATCGTTGAGCTTGTAGACCCTCGGACAGGAAAAGGCAAACTAAGGGCGCTCCGTCACCTCAATTGGTATCATGCCGGAATAAGAAGCGGTTGGCCCCGGTTTGAATCCCCAACTGGGCATTCTTGAACTCAGGTTGTTTTGCTAAGTTTTCAAAACTCTGAAGCTCATTGGTTATGTTTTATTGGAGATGGATTTTGAATTCCTGTAGCTCTGCCTCTTAAATAACCTAACAGAGTTGAAAAGTGTATTAAACCCTTAAACTTGCATTCCAAGGTAAATCAAGGCCAATTCCGATATCATTAAAATAATATTGCTGCTCATAAATCTTTTACTGATATCTTATTCTTTCTCAGAAGAATTATAAATTAAAGAATACCTACTTCTCAATACAGTCCGAACAATTTTTTTTTTAAACTTTTGTGACATAAAAAGACGCTGGGGTCTTGAAAAGGACATCTTTGAAGCAAAAATTCCTGGAAAATGGAGAATGCGCAAACGGGATATCAAGTCACGGCATTTCTGAACAACAGGAGGCAAGACACTTCCTCTGAATTACAAAGTTGTATCTGCTCCGTTCTTAGTTTTGAGAAATTTGACGTAAAAAATTTTGAGTTTCACAATGTTTCAAGCTTTTTCGAATGCAATTCTTTGAATATCTCGATAACGACTCCGAATAATCTTACGATTTTGATAGAGGAGATAAATCATTTGGTTTCTGGCCTCATGGTTGTAGTAACTCAACACGACCAAAAATGTTAGATTGGACTTTGTAATTCTGGGGCTGCGAAGAGTAACCAAGATTGCGAGCTTTGTGCAGGAAAAGAAAGACTGTGCACAGAGGGACTATCAAGAACGTCAACGCCGAAAGAGACATGCTACGTTTACGAAGACTTCCTTTTAGCAATGTTACTTTTTCGACGCTCCATCAACTTTTATTTATAACCTGCGTTTTATGAGGCTTAGAATAGGGCTTTGCAGAGGTTGGGTTATTTTTGTTGTTGTTGTGTTTATTGTTGCTGTTGTTGTTGTTGTTTATGAAGGTGTTCCAGGCCCTTATTTCCCACCTGTCTGGGTTTACAGGGGCTGTACGTCCTATCAGAAAGACAGATATATCTACTTTTTCTCGATTAAAAAAATTCTAAACCCTTTTAAAATAAAAAATCATTTCCTTTGGGGGTTTTTTAGAGATTCACTTTTAGAAAATTTAGATTGCACCATTTTTAAAAATCGTTATATCATAAACGCCTAATTTCTTAAGCTACCGTTGTGTACCGGGCTGAGAGACAAGAGCTCCCATCCTGCAAAACACCTCCTCCTCCTCTCCCCTCCCCCC